CAAGCTAAATAGACAGTATTCAGTCCAAATAATGGTAAAAAAAATAAAATATAAAAGTCCAACCTAAAAGTGTCCTCTCTATTTTGGAACTATCAAGTAACCAAAACTTTAATATTTATTATACAAAATTATATTTCCATTAACGCGTTTCGTCATTTTGAAAAAGTCTGTATGACGAAACGTGTTAATGGAAATATAATTTTGTATAATAAATATTAAAGTTTTGGTTACTTGATAGTTCCAATTATCTTTATTTATACATTTACCCCTGGCAAGTTTTATATATTTTATATACTTTTATTCTGATTTTAATATCACTCCTACAAGTTCCTGGCAGTTAAAGAAATCCTAGGTGGGGATTATTCCACCAGCACTGGCATCAAAGAGCAGTTGGCCTGCTCTGTACTTGTAAGTATGTTTTTATTTCTACCTACAATATATATCCATACAGAGAGCACTCTTTTAGTTTCTGGATACCACCGAAGAATCGACACTCACCACACATCCCATAAGCGGGGATTATACTGCTGTGTGCTCTTTACCCTAGAGCTGGAAAGAAGCTCTTAGAAATTGTGAGTTCGCTACCTTCATTCAATTTTATTTTACTTGAACCATACATATTGCACTAACGGTTGTTCTCTCTTTTTATATTTTTTATATTATACCTGAAGACTTTGTTCCTGTACCCAAGGACGACAGAGAGGACACTTTTAGGTTGGACTTTTATATTTTATTTTTTTCAACATTATTTGGACTGAATACTGTCTATTTAGCTTGGTGCAGCCCTTCTTTTTTATTTTGCTTTTAACCCCTTAAGGAACAAACTTCTGGAATAAAAGGGAATCATGACAGGTCACACATGTCATGTGTCCTTAAGGGGTTAAAGGATAGGATTGTTGAACATCTAAAATCACATGGATTTCAAGATCAGAGACAACATGAGTTTACTTCAGGGAGATCGTGCCAAACTAATCTTATTGATTTTTTTTTGGATTGGATAACTACAATAATAGATGGGTGGAGCAGTAGACATTGCTTATCTAGATTTCAGTAAGGCTTTTGACACTGTTGCACATAGAAGGCTTATTAATAATCTGCAATCTTTAAGTTTGGACTCTAATATTGTAGAATGGGTAAGGCAGTGGCTGAGTGACAGGCAACAGAGGGTTGTAGTCAATGGAGTATATTCAATGCATGGGCTTGTCACCAGTGGGGTACCTCAGGGATCTGGACTTGGACCCATTCTCTTTAATATTTGTATTAGTGATATTGCAGAAGGTCTTGATGGTAAGGTATGTCTTTTTGCTAATGATACTAATATATGTAACAGGGTTGATGTTCCAGGAGGGATATGACAAATGGCAAATGATTTAGGTAAACTAGAAAAATGGTCAGCTCTGTGACTGTTGATATTTAATGTGGATAAGTGCAAGTAATGCATCTTGGATGTAAAAACCCAAGGGCAGAGTACAGAATATTTGATAGCGTCCTAACCTCAACATCTGAGGAAAGAGATTTAGGTGTGATTATTTCTGATGACTTAAAGGTAGGCAGACAATCTAATAGAGCAGCAGGAAATGCTAGCCTAATGCTTGGTTGTATAGGGAGAGGTATTAGCAATAGAAAGAGGGAAGTGCTTATGACATTTACAGAACACTGGTGAGACCTCACTTGGAGTATTGTACGCAGTACTGGAGACCGTATCTCCAGAAGGATATTGATACTTTAGAGAGAGCTCAGAGAAGGGTTACTAAATTGGTTCATGGATTGTAGGATAAAACTTTCAAGGAAATGTTAAAGGAACTTAACATGTATAGCTTGGAGGATGAGACAGGGGGGATTTGATAGAAACATTTAATTATATAAAGGGAATCAACACAGTAAATGAGACTATATTTAAAATACAAAAAATTACCACAACAAGAGGACATAGTCTTAAATTGGAGGGTCAAAGGTTTAAAAATAATATCAGGAAGTATTACTTTACTGAGAGGGTAGTAGATGCATGGAATAGCCTTTCAGATGAAGTGGTAGAGGAGAACACAGTAAAGGAGTTTAAGCATGCGTGGGATAGGCATAAGGTCAGGGACTAATGAAAGTATTTAGAAAACTGGGCAGACTAGATGTGCCGAATGGTTCTTATCTGCCGTCACATTCTATGTTTCTAATTCTATAAAAACTTACATAAAGATTTTAAACTACGACAGGAAGCAAAGCCTGGCAGACCCCAGGTAAAAAATAAACTGTTTGACTACATATCATACATCATCAACACCTTCTTAAATTTGCTACTCATAATTTCTGTTTTCATTCAATCTACTGGCAACCTCTTTTATCTCAAGCGGATATTACAACTACTTTTGAAGCTGATGCTTATAATTTCCATACTTCCTATACTATATTGAACAAAAATATCAACAGAATATGCATTTCTGATGCTAAAGAGATATTCAGTTCAGTTATGCAAGCTATTAAAGTTAGGACTTGCTTTCAAAAAAGTTTCATTATTGAACAGTCCCAAAAAATACTTAACCAGTGGCCTATATGTGATTTGCATCTACAACATACAGTGGACACTTTGGGTGAAATTTCTCTAACGTTTCTAGAAAATACCAGTGAGAAATGAATTTGCTATATTTATACAGATTGTACATTTAGTAAGCCTCTAGTGAATGTACCTCTGTTACATTTCATACATTTATCTATCATGCTTTAATAAAAATTCACATAATAAGAAGGATCTGTATAACTAACAATTTATAACAGTAAGGAATCAGTTTAACCTCAGGGGACCTTTTCATGCAGAGAAGCTTTTAAGTGTGTAGTAAAGAACATTTACTTTGGAGTCCACAGCTTACTCCCCATCATTCAGGTGGAGGAAAAAAACCTCAATATTAAAATATAGAGGAGTTTTTGTGAGCCTATAGCATATCCCCTTTATCCTTTTCTGCCTGCTCTTATTTCTTTGATACTGACTATTCTGAAAGGATAACTGATATGACAGATACAATCTAATCTTAAATGATAAAGAGTCAAACTTCATCTATACATGGTGCTAGCAGAAATGATATCAAATCTCAACTTTTTTCTAAAATCAGAGATTATAAAACATCTTTCTCTCCCTCCTGTCAGTCAATTCAGTCTGTACCAATCGGCACAGAAATAAGAAAGCCGTGCTCTGCATGTCTTTTGTGAGGGACACCCTCCTGTGGGTTTCTCACCTGTCTGAATTCAGCTTAAGGAAAAGTAATTCCTGCAAAGGCGAGAAGGAAGAACTTAGGGACAGCTACTGTGAGAGCAGCACCATCAGTGTACAGAGAAACAGCCAGATTTATTTAATACTGGAGATTTAGACATATAATTTGAGAATGGGAAGACAGAGAAGAGATTTGTTTTATTTACATAACATATTGCCAACATAAAGAGTTTGGGACTTTTAAGCTGTTATAGGAAACAAGTTTATGCTTCCCAAACAGGGATATCCAGGAGAGGTGTGTCTCACAGCAAGTATAACACTTGCAGAAAACATGATTGATACTCTTAGTAAGAGATAGAGGTAATGTAAAAAAAAATAAGTATGAGCTTTTAATAGTATAACATAAATTAATCTAGACGATTATAAAACTGCAAAACTATATCTGTCATGATAGATTCACTGTTACATTTAGATATTTTCTGGTATCCTTATTCTGCTGACCTTCCTCTGGGTGGTTTCAGCTTTCCACTTTCTTTGAGCTTTTTATGTGAAGTAGACCTATTATGCACTACCAATATAACTCTCTCTACCTGGGTATGTTTATCTTTTATGTTTACTAGTACTAACTCCACAAAGCAGGGAGGATTGTTTACATTAAAAATGCCACAATCTTTATTTTGATGTCTAAGTGACAAACATGTTATTATAAGTGGTTAATTATACAGTAAATGTGTAAGGTTACTCTTTTTTACAGTTGTCATATAAACAGTTTTAAATTGAAAGCTCACTAACCACTCCATCATCAATTTCAGATTTGATTAATTCAACAACTTTCTCTTTCTTGTGTTGCAGTGTTCCATAATACCAATTCACAATGTTCATAATGTTGCATATTGTCTCACTTTGCTTGTCTCTCTATTTCTGGAAAAAAATCCACCTGGCTCTGTTACTGCAAACAGTTTATTTTTGAAATCATAGCTGGAGATTATAAATGTATTTGCAACCTTCTACCTCCTTACTACTCATCACTCACTTTCTGTCTAACCTCATTCTATTTTACATGCACTTAGTCCCTGAGCTAACAAGTCTCTGTCTGAGCAAGCACAATCTATTATTGGACCAAATTCCCTCATCACATTGGAATAGCCATACTATTCATACATTTTCAAAACTTCTAAAAGTTAAGTATGCATACTTTCTGGTAAATTAGATGTAAAGGATTTATAAAAAGGAAGATGCATTTCTATTATTATTTGGCAGTGGATTATTGCACATTTGTACTCGAAAGTGGTCATTGGCTATAAATAACAATAGTCCTCATTAGTGTGTGTATGGCTGCACTGTGAGGATGGAATGGGCAATGCAAAGTTAAAGTGGCAATATATATAATATGTATACATATACAATTCATGGAGTAACACATATAAATCGTTAATGCTGAGAGGGGTTGTGTCATGCTTTTCAACAGTCAAGAAATTAACCAAATAGTGAAAAATCACTGGGCATCTGCATTTATTAAGAAGGAGTCAGCAGAAGGTTCCTGCAAAGACATCAAAGAGTTTTGAAATACTTTGTGCCCCAAACGTAAGATGTGTAGCAAAAAAATACAGACTCCTCCACTTAACACCATGCAGGTGCCCCAGGGACCTAAAGGCACTAGAAATGTAAGTTTTGCTTAGCCAAGCCCCATGATCAGCATCAATAATAGCTTTACTTGCATCGACTACTGAAGAGGGCCCGGGTAGACTGTACTCTCAGAACTATGTGTCGTTTTGTAAGGACTACAGCTACCAGGACTGTGTGTCGTCCAGACCCTGGGCGGAAATAGAGCTAGTCCACTATCCTGTTCCAGGGCAGAGAAACTCCAGGAGGACCCCAGCCAAGCCACGGTTACTGGGGCAGAAGCGTTTAGATAGTGATCTGTCTGTTATTTAATTTAAAATCCCCCTCCCGATACCTGCAAGTACTAGCATGGGGGTGGGGGGATCAGGTTTGCTGTTTTATTTTACAGGCACTTATGCTATTGGATAGATATTTTTTTTCCAGCTTTTTTTTAAATTATTTTTTGTGATCTGGTATTTTTTTGCTTTTGTTCTATGCAGTGGTGTATTTAGGATTTGTGCAGCCCTAGGCAGGATGGTGCTTGCCCCCCCCTAATTTACATTTTCTCCACCCCTTCCTGTCAAGGTTGACTGACAGATGCACACACTCACTAATAGATACATACACTCATTGACAGATGCACACTCTCATATACACTGACAAACAATGACATACACACACTCACTGATTTGACACACTGATAGACAGACATACACTTACTCGGACACACACTCACTGACCGACGGTCACTCACTGACAGACACACACACACACTGATAGATGCATACACTCATTGATGGACACACACTCTCATATACACTGACAAACAATTACATACACACACTCACTGATTTGACACACTGATAGATAGACATACACTTACTCGGACTTACTCTCACTGACAGACACATGCACTCACTGACCGACGCACGCACTCACTGACCAACACACACAGACTGACCAACACACACACACATTCACTGACAGACACACACTCACTGACAGACACACTCACTGACAGACACACACTCACTCAAATTCACTGACACACACTCACATTCACTGACACACACACTCATATTCACTAACACACACTCACTCACATTCACTGACACACACATTTACTGACACACACTTACATTCACTGACACACACACACACTCACATTCACTAACACACACTCACTCACATTTCTCCACACTCACAATTATTTTTATTATTAGCAAACACAATGCACTCTTAGCTGGAAAAATTCCAGCAAAAAGATACAAAGAAAATGGATTACGGGGGTACTAAAAAGGGCCTAACCCTTATCTTAACAAGTATACAGAAAAATGAGGAGAGAGAATCCCTAAAAAATGGGAACAAATCCCCTCAAAACTAGTCCCCCCTCTGGAGCAATATAAATATGCTTGCCTACTACCGTGTATTAAACAAAGTGAAAAAATATAATAAAGTTTTATTGAAAAATCATCAAAAATCCCATATATAAAATCTATAATACATCAGACTGCTTTAAACTAGGGATGAAGGAGTGCAAAAAAGCAATCCAGCATGCACATGTCCAGATAGTACAGCTCAATACTTTGTTGCTAAAGTTTCCAATAGAAAAATGGTGAAAAAAGCTACTTAGAAATGCAACAAAGTAGCAACAGTATCCAAAAGATTAACACATTTGAGTGTAATGGAAGCAGGCTGAAAATAAATTCCAGTTCCTTCAAACCAGTCTACAATAAACAAATGACTCCTCACTATTCACTATTTAACCCCTTAAGGACGGAGCCAAATGTACACGTTGTGAACAAAACAAAATGTAAACAAAACCTGGCATTTGCGCTACATGTCTGTCCAACCGTAATACACCTCTTTCATAGTAAATGCACCCACCCTTATTATATATATCATTTTATTCAGGGGAAACAGGGCTTTCATTTAATATCAAATATTTAGCTATGAAACATAATTTAATATTTTTTTTTTGGGAGAAAATACGATTTTATTGGATTTTTTTAGTTCTACATGACAATTAAACGGTCAGTGTCATAATACTTTTTGCTTTTACTGCAATAAAATACACATATTTGTATTCAGCAAAGTCTCACGTGTAAAACAGTACCCCCTATGTACAGGTTTTATGGCGTTTTGGGAAGTTACAGGGTCAAATATAGCACGCTACATTTGAAATTGAAATTCGCCAGATTGGTTACGTTGCCTTTGAGACTGTATAGTTCGGAATGGCACACTCATACGGTGAGTTAATATTTGCACAGTAGACAACCCGTTGGTAAATAAGTCCAGTCTTTTGTAGTTATTTGGTCACAAAACACTACAAAGTTAAAGTAGTATTTGTTTGTGTGTGAAAAATGCAAAACGCCAATTTTGCCAGTGTTTGTAACTAAGTTGCTACTAAAAAAGACTCGACATACCCCATTTGCAATACCTTGGGCTGTCTACTATTGCAAATGGTATGCCATCATAGGGGTAATTTTCATTCTTGGGCTACCATAGGGTCTCAAAGGCAACGTAACCAATCAGGTGAATTTTAATGTGAAAAAAATGAAACAAAAGCCTTATATTTGACGCTGTAACTTTTGAAAACACCATAAAACCTGTACATGAGGGGTACTGTTGTACTCAGGAGACTTCGCTGAACACAAATATTTGTGTTTCAAACAGTAAAAAGTGGGTATCATAGCAATAATATTGTCCGTTTAATGCTGTTTGTGCGTGAAAAATGCAAAAACGTCACTTTTACTGGCGATATCATCGTTGTAATACATTTTACTGTTTTGAAACACTAATATTTGTGTTCAGCGAAGTCTCCCGAGTAGAACAGTACCCCCCATGTACAGGTTTTATGGTGTCTCGGAAAGTTATAGGGTTCAATATAGTGCTAGCAAATTAAATTCCCTTTACTTTCGGCATGGGTTGTCATGCAGGTCCTGCTAATTGTAATTAATTAAGATACCTAATTATGTAAAAATATTACATAAATATATATGTAGAATCAATATATGTATATATATATACGTTTGTGTATATATATGTATATATCTATATAATTTTTTTTAAATATTTTTATTTATATATAGGTATATATATAGTGATATATACGTATATATTTATGTGTATAAATATATATATTATTTCGCTCTATGTGTATTTTGATATATATATATATATATTAATTTCACAATACAGTTAGAACGAAATAACACACATCTATATATTTTTTAATTATTTATTTTTAATTATTTTTGTAATTTTATTTTTTAACGTATTTACATTTTAATTTTTTATATAATATATATAAATATATATATAACAATAATTATATATATATTTAATCAGTATCAGTCTACGTGTAATTTGATATTAATATATATATATAATTATATATATATTAATAGTAAAATACACCTAGACGGTGTACATGTGTGTATGTATATGTGTATATATATACTTTGATCATATATATATAATATATATATATGATCTAAGTATATATTATTTATTTTTTTACACTATTTATTTATTTCATTTTTATTTTCAGCCAGCAGGGGGACCACCTGTCATTACAGGCAGCCCCCCTGCTGGCAATACAGAAGCCAGCTATCCCCGGCCATGTGATTGTGGGGTCCTCGCTAGGACCCCACTCTCACACGGCCGGGGGGCTTCCTGGAGGACGGTCGTGCCGCGGGGGGCTCCCTGGGAGTCCCCCCCACCGCGATCGCCGGCGTGGGACCGCCGGCGACCGGGTAAGTACAGAAAGACCGGAGGGCGTACTATTACGCCCGGCGGCGTTTAGAGCCGCCTATTAGAGGACGTAATAGTACGCCCTCCGGTCTTAAGGGGTTAATATCTATGTATAAATATAAATATGCAGTCCTGATGGTTTACTACAAATATAAATTAGTATATCTTGGCCATATTGGCTCCATATATCTCTGCAAAGTTGGTAAATCGACAGGACAGAAAGATGTAAGTAGAAAAGATGAAAAATAAAGTGAGGAGGCAGTAAAAAGGGTTCAATAAGTCAGTAAACCTAAACTATAATGAAAGCAGTAAAGGAGTGCAAGGCCAAATGCCCACACCCCCCCAAAAAGAGCCCAACGCACGTTTTGGCGATAATATCCGCCTTTCTCAAGGGCATAATAGTGCGCACACTATTATGCCCTTGAGAAAGGCGGATATTATCGCCGAAACGCGCGTTGGGCTCTTTTTGGGGGGTGTGGGCATTTGGCCTTGCACTCCTTTACTGCTTTCATTATAATAGTGCGCACACTATTATGCCCTTGAGAAAGGCGGATATTATCGCCGAAACGCGCGTTGGGCTCTTTTTGGGGGGGTGTGAGCATTTGGCCTTGCACGCCTTTACTTCTTTCATTATAGTTTAGGGTTACTGACTTATTGAACCCTTTTTACTGCCTCCTCACTTTATTTTTCATCTTTTCTACTTACATCTTTCTGTCCTGTCGATTTACCAACTTTGCAGAGATATATGGAGCCAGTATGGCCAAGATATACTAATTTATATTTGTAGTAAACCATATAAGGGGATTTGTTCCTGTTTTTTAGGGATTCTCTCTCCTCATTTTTCTGTATATTACTATTATTATTTTTTAAATTTAAATCCACCCAGCCTCCCTACGTTTGGGATAGCTGGGTGGATTTCTCACCTGGGGTCCAGTGGGGCTGCTGGGCAGACAGGATTCGTGATGTACAGGCAGGCCGGCCAGCCGGCAAGGGAGCACATTCCCCTGAGCGCTCTGCTAAGCTCCCTCGCATGCCGCAGAGTGATGCCGGGAGCTGGAATATGACGTCATATTTCAGCTCCCGGCATGATTGCGGGTCGCGCGAGGGAGCAGAGAGCTCAGGGGAAAGTGCTCCCTCGCCGGCCGGCCTGCCTGTACGTTCAGCCTCCTCTCTGCCCAGCAGCCCCACTGGACCCCAGGTGAGAAATCAACCCAGCTATCCAAACGTAGGGAGGCTGGGTGGATTTAAATTTAAAAAATAATAATTATAATACCCGCCTGCCCATGGGCGTAGGAACCCCAAAAAATCTGGGGGGGGTAGCATTTTTACTCGCCGGGTATATTCTTATTCCGTTGTTTATCCCATTGTACAGCGCTACGGAATTTGCAGTCGTTATATAAATGATTAAATAATAACATTAAAGGGCCACTACAGGGAAGGGATTTTACTTACCCGGATACAGCGCCGGGATCCTCCTGATGCCGCGCCCCCGATTTCGTAATAATGACGAAATAGGAGGGTGCGGGCAAGGAGCAATAAAACGCTTCTATTCAGAAGCGTCATTGCTCTCTGGTGCGCATGCGAAGCTTTGCCGCACATGCGCAGATACTTCATAGGACGGCATTCATGTCTCGACTAGGAAGCACCTCAAGTGGCCATCTGAGTGTCCAC